AAGGAAAGCAGAGTGACGTTCCCAGGCGCCTTGATTTTCTGGGATTACCAAGAATAACTTTGGTTCATAGATAGCGGTTTAAAGATTTTTCCTCGGGAATCAATCTTTGGTGATAGATTGCCTGCTAGGATGGAAAGAGCTGTAAGATCATCTCTCGTTTGTGGACTTGCATCCACAGTTCCAGGTAGAATAGGTGCCCCCTTACTTGGTTACCAAGTAACAGAAGCCCAGAAACTGCATCCATCGGGGTTTGCCTGACTTCAGAGGTGGCTTGTTGCTGATGTCTTATCTGACATCTCAGGATTTGTGATGGCCAGGTCCTCTGCATTTTTACACAGAATCACAGAATGGCCAAGGTTGGAAGGGACCTCTGGAGATCATCTAGTCCAACCTCCCTGCTCCAGCACGGTCGCCTAGGGCACGCTGCACAGGACTGTGGCCAGACAGCTTTGGAAGGAGGCTCCAAAGCTCCAGGGAAGGAGGCTCCACAACCCCCCGGGCAACCTGCTCCAGGGCTCTGTCACCCTCACAGGAAAGGAGTTTTTCCTCATGTTCAGACGGAACTGCCTGTGGTTCACGTTGTGCCCGTTGCCTCTCGTCCTGTCACTGGGCACCACGGAGAAGAGTCTGGCCCCATCCTCTCGACACCCTCCCTTCAGAGACACATACACATTGATCAGATCCCCCCTGAGCCTTCTCTGCTCCGGGCTGAATAGTCCCAGCTCCCTCAGCCTTTCCTCATCTTAGGAGAGATGCTCCAGGCCCTTCATCATTTTAGTAGCCCTTCGCTGGACTTGCTCCATGACCGCCATGTCTCTCTTGTACTGGGGAGCCAAAACTGTCTCTCTTGCACTGTGCCTTCCCGGTTGGCTTTCTGCTGCAATTCTAATTAGAGTGGCAGGTTCCCTTTGCTCTGCAGGGCCATGAGCTGCTGCTGTGCCAAAGGAAAGGGTTCACAAAGAGTTGTAGGTGGCACAGCTGTTCAGCAAGCATTATCACAATTCCTTATTTGACACACAAATTAAGACTCTAAGGCATTTTCGCATCATTTTTACAGAGCTTGATTATCTCATGTAGGATAAAAATATGACCCTGAGTATTCTAAATTTTGGTATTAATTCCATAAATGCCATCATCTTAAAGTGACAGATAGGTAGATGACATTTCCCCTTGCCCCTGTCTCTGGTTAAAATATGCTTCCCTCATCTAGTCAGAGACAAGATTTCTTTCCTCTCAAGGAAGCTGTTACAGTATGCTTACATTTTTGTGAAGATTTTGTCTTTGAAAAGTCGGAGTAATGGTACCTTGCAGAGAAAAGTAGTAAAAATCCTCTTCAAATCTTGTGCGTTTTGTGTAGACGAGATGGATAGCTGCATACATCCCTATTATCCTGACGCAGATAGAGCTGTTCCAAATAATCTTCACTTGAGGTCACCTCAGTACATACTCAAAGTAAATCACAACTTTATTTTCACTTTAAAGCATAAACTACATCTAAAACTTAACTGCTTTGTATTCATTTACAGTCTTCCAAAGTGCAGTGATTTTCAAACTCATGCACAGAAATACGTGCAAAGATACAAAGTTTAAAAGTGAATAGCTTCAGATCCTAGCTAAAATTGTTACAAATCTTCACAACAGTACATGATACGAAGGAACTATATTTCCAAATGTCTTCATTCTAGCTCTATTAAGTAATGCGACTAAGCCAGTCTATAATACCTAATTACTTGAACTTCTAATGAACATATGAACCTAGGGAGCTGACACTGCACTTCATAATTTCAGAGCACTGCTCAATGTTCTTCTTTATCCTGTAGAATGTTTCCACATATTCAGAACGGCCCAGAAGTTCAACAAAATCTTCATCATGAGTTATCACCAGAAGCTGAAAGTTGCGCTGCTGTGAGCGGCTTTTTATTATCCTACAAAAGAAATGCTGCTTAGTACACAGTGATCTAAATCACATCCTAGCTTTAAATAACTTGTAAATATATAGTGCATAAATAGTTAACTGTTGACACAAATGATATGAACTGTCAAGCAATCTAAAGAAGATTAGTATCTCTTCTCACCCTCATTAAAAAAAAAAAGGAAATATGTAAGATATACTTTTCTTTTTCCGGAAAAAAGGAGAAGGAATCGAAAGCTACTACTTTGCGCTTATAATACTACACATCAACAGAGATATACAAGCTTAAAATAAACTTCACTTCTGCCAATTACTACTAACTTTTGAAAAGAAAAACATCTTTAGGCTTCACAAGAAGAGATCACTTACTCCACCAAGGCATGTGCAAGAGACTCTATGTTTTCTCGATCAAGATTGGTAGTAGGCTCATCTAGTGCCAGGATGCCACAGTTGAGACAGAATGTTTCTGCTAGAGCAAGACGAATAATAAGAGAAGCAAGCACCTTAGGGGAAAAAAAACAAAATCTCACTCTTCAAAGTGCTTAGAGAGGCATGATTATGTGTATCACACTATTTTTAATGCCATTACAAACTATAAAACTGAGTAAAGTTTACAAGACAACGTGCTGATAGTTTGCAAAATGCCAGTAACTGACTACCTTGCAGCTGAAAAAATACATAAACATTTCACATTTTAAATGAAAGAGCCACTCTACAAAGTACTGTTGGAAAAATATCACAGTGAAATACTCAAAATTCAGGAAATACCGGAAATAAGAATGACTACTACATTGTGATCTGCATCACCACTGTACTTTTTTCAACCCCATCCTATTGTAGCAAAGAGGGTGGAAATGTGTTATTTCTATCACTCGGTTTGGATTACTGAACTCTTGACTACTTACTAAAACTGAGGTCAGGAGGATTTATCACCTTACATATCAGTTCTACACTAATCTGCCTAATCATATTTTTATTTGACCTCATGAGGTAGTGAAAATCACAGAGCACTTGATGGAAACTTTAGGAGAACATGCTACTAA